CACTTACATTCAATGTCACTGCAACATGTCAGCAACATGGGGTACGCTGGCAAGGAAATTGTCATACCTACTTGGCTAATGGCTCCCAGCATCTCCCCCCTTCTGATTAATTAAACAACAAGCAATGTGGCTTAAGGACCGTGCCTGGTAGGTTGTCCAATTCAACATATGGTTCTTACCCGTCATCGGAAAACTGACCTTTAGGCATCAGCCTCCTGTCTTAGGTTGATACCACTGCAATTGAATCATACCCGTCACTGACTACCGGTCCAGCATACAGCCATACTTGTGGATAGGTCTATGCACCAGTGGGGGGGTGAGGTTCTTTGCCTCACCTCTGTTGGCCCCCAAATTTGGCCTTGGTGCCAGTGGGGGAGTGAGGTTAATGTGGCTTATGGACCGTGCCTGGTAGGTTGTCCAATTCAACATATGGTTCTTACCTGTCATCGGAAAACTGAATGCCACAGTCTGGCTGGGCACAAATGCCGCAGTCTGGCTGGGCACACAATCACGAGCCACCACACAGCTTGTAGATTCAAACAGCAACTCTTTATTCCCGAACTCACACCAGCCATCTACAATCACGTTCTGGGGAAATCCACGTTCTCTGCCCAAAATCCACCTTCTCTCCCAAATTCACCTCCACTGGGCTTCTATCTCCAAAATATACTGTCTGAATCCCGTGAGAACTCAAGGGGAACTCAGGCAGCAGGATACGCCCTATTCCCAGCAGGAATAATCTTAAACCTTAAACCTGGAACCTAAACTGGGAACGCCCTAAACAAGATTATCTTAAAACCGGGAACACCCTAATCTGCCTTGGTCCTTGAGCAAGGTCACTTACATTCAATGTCACTGCAACATGTCAGCAACATGGGGTACGCTGGCAAGGAAATTGTCATACCTACTTGGCTAATGGCTCCCAGCAAGAACCCAAAAAACTTCACATCAGAAAAAAAACAACCCAATCAACAAATGAGCACATAATCTAAACTAACACTTCTCAAAACAATAAATATGAATTGCCAACAAATAAATGAAAAAATGTTTCACATGTTTACTAATTAGGGAAATGTAACTCAAAACTACAGAGATTTCATCTCACTCCAGTCAGAATGGTGGTCATCAAGAATACAAAGAATAATAAATGCGGGAGAGGATGTAGAGGAAAAGGAACACTTATTATTGCTTGGAGTGTGAATTTGTACAATCATGGTGGAAATCATGAAGGAGATTCCTCGAAAGACTAGGAATGGAAACATCTTATGACCCAGCTACACCACTCCTCAGTATTTATCCTAAAGAATTAAAGTCATCACACTGTAATGATACACGCATACCCATGTTTATATCAGCACAACCCACCATAGCCAAGTTATGGAATCAGCCTAGATGTTTGTCAACAGATGAATGGATAAAGAAAATGTGGTATATCTACACAATGGAGTTTTATTCAGCCATAGAGCAGAATGAAATTATGTCATTTGCAAGAAAATAGATGGAACTTGAGAACATTATGTTAAATGAAATAAGCCAAACTCAAAAAGTCAAAAATTGTATGTTTTCTCTCATATGCAGAAACTAAAAAGGAAAAAGGGAAAGAAAGGTGGGAAGCAGTTTCTTGAAACCAGAAAGGAGACCAATAGTCTAGAGGAAAAGGACCAGGGGAGGAAGGGAGAGAGAGAAAGGGGAAATACTGGGGAACTACATTGACCAAATAATATTGTTCTTTCATATGCATATATGAATCTGTAACAAAAATACCACTATGATATATAATTATAATGTGCCAATAAAAATATGGAATAAAAGTCAAATTGTAAATTAAATTAAAAAGTGAAAAATTATTTGCTATTTAGCATTATAATCAGGTTGATTATCAACCATCCTATTGATAAAATTAGTTACAATGTTAAATGCAAAAATCAGATGAACTGCTAGGCACAGTGGGATATGCCTGTCATCCTAGCATCTCAGGAGTTGAGGCAGGAGGCTCACAAGTTTGAAGCCAGTCTCAGCAACTTAGCCAGACACTTTCTCAAAATAAAATTTTTTTTAAAAAAAAAAGGACTAGAGATGTGGCTCAGAAGTTATGCTTGAATTATATAAATTTACTTAAATGTTGATATCCTCAAATCTAGTACTTGGCAGCTTTTATTCAGGCAGTCTTTACATTCCAAAAAGACAAACTTTATCAATATAGTTGAGTAAAAATTAAATTTTGTCTTTTAATAGTAGCAATATATATTGTTGGTCATTATTAATACTGTATAGTTAGGGTTGTTGCCACTTCTGTATTAAAGTTTGAAAGAATGAAAAGTAATCATCCTGTAACTGTACAACAGTATGACAAATTTTTATACTCATGTGCCTGTCTCCTTCATTGTTCCATGTTTTATTTTCTTAGGACTACAGGAGAAATTTAACAAACTTAGAAGCCTAAAACAACATGCCATTTATTGTCTTACAGGTCTGAAAGTCCAAAGCCCCAGCACAGCTGTGACATAACTGGGTTCTCTGCTTAGGGTATCCCAAAACTGAAATCACAGTGTCAGTCAGACTCAGTTCTTGTTTGGATGCTGTGGGGGGAAATCTACTTAAGCTCATTCCAGTCATTAACAGAATTTAGTCCCTTGTATGGTAAGAGGAAGTCTCTGTAACCCTGCTGGCTGTGAGCACCGCTCGCTGCTTTCAGCACCTAGACACTGCTCCCTGGTCCCTGCCAAGTGGCTCCTCCATCTCCAAAGCCATCAGTAGAAAACCTCCCATGAGGTGATGAAGCCACTTGGTGCTTTGAATTTCTCTCCAGGAAGAAGAGCCCAGTATCTTTCAAGGGATCACCTAATTAGGCCAGGCCTGCCAAGGATAATCTCCCATCTTAAGGTCAATTGATTTGAGTTTAATTGCATCTGCAATATTCTTCAGAGCAGCACCAAAACTATTGTTTGAATAATTGGGAAAGTGTATGTGCACACCAGGAGGGACAGGGATCTTGGGAGTCATCTTAGAATCCTGTCTAGTTTTCAGTCAGGAAATTCCTCCATGGCCAAAAACTGGGCCTTATGCATCTTGGTTTGGTACCCAGTAGATGCTCCATAGTCAGTGACTGAGCTATATTGTTTTAAAGGAAGAGTCAAGGCCAGAAAATTGTTCCAGGGAACATGAAGTTCTAGTTAAGGACAGGCTATGGTTTAGATATGAGGTGTCCCCAAAGTTCATGTGTGAAACAATGCCAAGAATTATAACCTAATCGGTGGATTAATCCACCCATATGAATTAATCAGACAATAACTGTAGGCAGTAGGGTGTGGTTGGAGGAGGTAGGTCACTAGGGATGTGCCTTTGGGGTTTATATTTTGTCCCCAGTGAGCAGAGTTCTCTCTCTGCTTACTGGTTGTCATGTTCCGAGCTCCTTTCCTACTCCACACCCTTTCACCTTGATGTTCTGCATTGCCTGGGGTCCAGAGCTGTGGAGTCAGCCCACCATGGACTGAACCTGGGAAACCTTGAGCCAAAATAAACTTTTCTTCTTCCAAATTGTTCTTGTCAAGTATTTTGGTCACAACAATGAGAAGCTAACTAAAACAGGACAGCTCCCAGCAGGAAAAAGATCAGAAAAGATGTAATGCCTCAGATGCCTTTGTGCTCATCACTGCCCCACCCTCTTTCTCTTCCAAAAAAGTAATTAGAGTTTGTAACGGTTTAGATATGAGGTGTTTTGCTACCGAAACATAGATTTAATTTAAACATGGGGGGGGGGGTTCAAGGGAAAAATTCCTGCTCCATAAATATACAAAGCAGACTATTTTCCGGAAATCAAGTCTAGTCGGTTGAGTACAAGGTGTGTTCAATGGGTTCATAATGTCACACATGCCCCTTGGTTGATCTACCAGTTCATTGAGAGTGGCGATGCACACTACAGGACACACTTCAAGGATAAATGCGGATTGAAAGTTTATAGAATGAATGTTATTTAACGTCTCTCTGCTGGTAGTCATTCAGTTCTGTGCGTGTGGACTCATTTTTCTGTAATCCAGCAATGTCTGTCGGATCCTGGGCAGCCAGGGAGCATTCAACAGGTACAGTCGCTGGGCCCTGTGCTTTCTCCCAACCCAGCAGTTGACCATTTTAGGTTATGCAATATGAATACAAGCAGAATAATACTAAAGCTAGACTTATGAGGCTTATTCCTAAGAAATATTTAGCTTTATGAAACGCAAAAAAACCCCTTCATTTTCAATTAGACATTCATATCCATGTCTGTAAACGCATTAACGGAAGACATTCCTTTACATTAAAGACAGAACTTTAGTCTTTGCAAAAGGAAAAGCTCCGTTTCCCTTAGATTTTCTCAGCTCCTCCACTATTTGCCTCAGACAAGGTTCAAGTTATTTGTACTTCTGTGGGCGCCGTTGCATTTAAATCGCAGTCGGAAAAACCCTTCCCGGACTTTCTAACTCCACAGAACGCTAACTGGGCGCCAGGACGTCGCCCGCTTTCCCGTAAGCTGCCGAGCCGCCGATGCCGGGCCCGCGCTGTGATGTCACCCGGCTCGCGGGCCGCGGCGCGGGGATTGGCCCGGGTCCATGACGTCACGTGCCGGGGCGGCCCCGCACTGGCGAGGGCCCCGGGATGCTCCTGTTCGTTTAAAAATAAAGGGGTAGCGGGGCGGAGGAGAAGAACCGCCGGCCCGCGGAGTCACCCGCCGCCCCGCCAGGCGCCCCGCACCCCGGCCGCGCCAGCCTCGCCGGCGGCCCGAAAGAGGCGGGGGTAGGCGGGGCGGAGGAGGAGCCGCGGGCGCGGCGCCGCGCCGTCAGCGGCCGCCGCCCGCCCCCGTTACACACCGCATGTAAACAGTCCCCGTCTGCGCGAGCCCAGGGACCCGCAGGGAGTCCGCCTGCCTGGCCCGCCGCCGCCCCGGACCCGCGCCTAGCGGAGCGTCGCGCCGTGCTGCCCGTCCGGGAGGAGGGCGCCGAGGAGCGAGGAGGGCGGCGGCGGGAGGCGGAGGGAGCGGGGAGGGCGGCGAGCGCCGAGGCGGAGGGAGCGGCGGCGGGCGCGGCGGGCCACGATGGATTTCCAGCAGCTGGCCGACGTTGCGGAGAAATGGTGCTCCAACACGCCCTTCGAGCTCATCGCCACGGAGGAGACCGAGCGCAGGATGGATTTCTACGCCGACCCCGGCGTCTCCTTCTACGTGCTGTGTCCGGACAACGGCTGCGGCGACAATTTTGTGAGCGCCTGGGGGGGAGGGACCGCTGGAGCGGGTGGGACTGTGGACGCTGCGGCCGCGTAGCTGCGCCGGAGCTTCCTCGCGGTGGGGAGGCGTAACCCGCTGGCCGCCGCGCACCCGCTGCTCCTAGCTGGGTAGGGGAAGCCCCGGGGCCAGGCGCAGCGGTGTCAGCGCCCCGGGTGGGGCGGGTGGGTGTCGGGCTGGGCGTCCGTAGGATCCGGGGAGCAGGGCTGGGGCGGGAGGTGTGGCGTTTTCCGGAGTCCACCCCTTACCCCCGGCGGGCGCTATTTTGAGAACGCGACCCCACTGCTGATGGGCTGTGTTTGGCTTCGAACATCCTGGGGATGTCAGCCGCATCGCACTGACCCGGGCTGGGGCACTGGGTCCCTCTTGAAGAATCCGAAGTCCGGAGCTTCCTACACCCGGGCGTCCCGTCCGGGTGAGGAATCCCGTTCCCCTCCCAGTGCGCAGACCCAACTCCACCAATTGCCGGGTTCGGGAGAACCCTCAATCCCCTCCCTGTTATTCCCTGTGCTGCCTGTTTGGACACAAAGCCTCTGTCCACATTAACGATGCCCGATCTCCTGGACCTTCTTTGCGGAATTACACCCTGGATCTTAAAAACGCACGCGCGCGTGCGCATACATCCCAATACACAGACACACACACACACACGCACTCGGGCACGCCTATCCCCCTTTCCCCGGTGCTTCCATTGCTCCTCTTTGAGCCTCCAGCGAGGTGAGGTGTGTGTGTCCGGGGCGGATTCTGTCGGTCCGGAGGCGGCTGCGGCCGTGCCGAAGCCCTTTGGCTTTTCCAGGGGAAGGGGAATCCCCAACACCCTTGGCTAGGAGCGACCTGGACCTGAACCTGCGGTGTCTATACCTTCGACTTCGCATCCTGAGCCCACTTGGGATCTTGGCATTGACAGTTTAGGAAGAGGATGCGGAGGGCAGGGAAGTTGCAGTGGAAGGGCGTGGAGACCAAGCGAGGATGGCGTTCCATGAAGTGTTTGTAAGCGCGGGGAATAAATATGGTCCCCAAATGTAAGATGGAGGCGGCTGTGGACGCGGGTTACCGTGTGGTCGCCGGCCTAAGCCTGGAGCTGGCGCTGCTGCCGTCCCTGCCGACGGATGGGGCGGCGCAGAGGCGCGGCCTGGCGCAGGCTCCTCAGGTGGGGCGAGACAAAGCTTGGGCTGTGGCTTTTACTGCCGCGCGCCCCAGTCAGCCGCGGGAAGTTCGCGAAGGAGTTAGAGCCAGAGTGCCTTTTTTGGACCCGGAGAGGTGAAGTCTGGTGCAAGCCTGGCGGATAATGCACGCCCCTCCCACCATCCCCACCTCACTGAGGGGAGGAACCCACCTGAGCCCCGTTTTGCGTCACCGTGGAAGAGGGGTGGCTTTGGGTGACAGCCAGATTTGAGTCCTCCCTGTGCGGCTATTATCAGACGCCCTTCCCTGAGCCCAGTTTCCATATATCCACAAAATGAGCGTAATAATATCAGTGCCCTGATAATCATGTAGGTAGAACACCTGACAGTCTCTCTTAAGCAAGGGCTGTACAAATTTGGGATTCAGAGACCTGTTTTCCAGAGTTTAGAGCTTGTCTTTCTTTTTTTAAGAGCCTCAGTTTTCTCAACTGTAAAGTGGGCTTTCACAGGGTTCTTTTGAAGAGCAAGTAAGCTATTAATACATGTAAGCACAGGTTAACTATACTGGGATTCACTCCTTTGGAAAAGTATGCAAAAACTCCAGGGATAGGTGGAAAGGGAATCAAGATCCAACTAACTGTAAAATGTTAGGTTGTGATTAGGAGTCCCTCCCAGCTCTCAACTTAGTTTTCCAGTGCCCCTCCTCCTCCCTACTGTGTGAAATAGGGTATGGTTCATGGATTTTATGGGGGAGGGTTCTACACAGCCAGACTACAGGGAACATACCTCAGAAATGACTCCAAAGAGCACAAGTAGGCTGAGGAAGGCACAAGGCCATTCTCGTCTGGAATGTTATCAAATCATCATTCAGAAACATTATTTGTATTAGGCCCTTTTCCTGAGGCCACCCACATTGAAAATGTCGACTAACAATTTAAATGGAATAGATAAAGAAGATAGAAGGTGGGATGGAAGATAAATAAGAAGAGAGAAGTAAAAACAATTCCTCAGGTAGACTGTAACTTTCTCAAAAGTTTCTGGAAGCCATAATGGACAAGATGCCAACTGCAGTAGTTTTCTTAATCAAATTTTTTCTTGAATCCCCTCGAGGCCAGGTGTGTCCAACTACTGTTTGCTTCTAATAAGTGTCCTACCCTAGTTCTTTTCCTTTTTGTCCCAGGAAAATATGTTAAGCATTAGTGGAAATTTGAGTTGAGTGGAATCCCTGTTATTTGAAAGATTTGTTAACGTATTTACATAGCCATCTCTCAATTTACAAGGTATTTTCACAACATTCGTTTATTTAACAAATTTTTGAGGGCCTATTCTTGGCTGGGCCATAGCTGTCTAGCATACAAATAGTCCTCATGCTCCTGGGGCCAGTTTACCTAGCTAAAAAGCAGTGTAGCACAATGGTTAGCATAGAATTTGGGGTCAGATCCCAGCTCTGTGTGCCCTGGGGAGGTCATTTATGCCCTCTATGCCACAGTTTCAACATCTGTAACCTCCCTAGCAGGGTTACTTGGGATTGGTGCTTCAAGGGGGGTCATGGTTTTAGTAGTATCTTCAGGGTTGCTTGAGAATGTAGTTCCTGGCTTATTCTCCAAAGAGCACAAGTAGGCTGAGGAAGGCACAAGTGCTCAATACTGGTAGCCCATTGTGCTGTTAGCTCTGTAAATTCTACTGTTCGTCTAGTTAAAGACCAAAGAGGTCTTTAACCTCATTCTAAAACTCTCTGTATCTAAATCACCAAAATTCTGCAAAAATTGCTTTCAAAAGGCGTGCAGTGTCCACCTGTTTTTCTGTACTCTCATACTATTGCAGTAGCCTAAGCCAGTATCATTTTTCATTTTATCTCCTAACTTGTCTCCATGCTTGTAGTACCTGCCCCCATGCCAAGCCAGGCTCTAGCCAGTTGTCACTCCAAAGCTATTTAAAATATGATCTGGATCCTGTATAAATATAAATAGTGGTGGTGTTGGTGATGTCACCACCCACCCGCCAACACCCACTCCCCACCTTACCTAAACTGACTTCCCTTCCCTTTGGCAATAAAACCCAAGACCTCGCCCAGGCCTCCAGCCCTTACATAAAGTGTCTCTTGGTGCCTCTCTAACCTCCTCTTGGACCATTCTTCTCCCTTGCTTACTGTGTTTCTACTATACTGATCTCTCTGGCCTCACTCCTGCCAAGCTCTTTCCTGCCCTGAGGCCTTTGCCCTTGCTGTTCTCCCTGCCTAGAACATCCTTGTCCTAGATCTTTACATGACTGGCTCTTTATGGCATGTAGTCCTGGGAGAAGCCTTCCTGACCTCTCCACCTTCGTTTCATGTTTTTTGTTCTTATCAGCACTCATTAGGCTGGATATCCTCTTTTTGTTTTCTGTGTTCTCCACTAGACTACAAGTTCCTAGAGCAGAGACCTTGTTTATCTTATTCATCACTGTACCACAGTACCTGGAACAGTGTCAGATAATTGGTATATGCTCAATACACATTTGTAAGAATGAATGAATGAGCTGGGCCTGGTTGCACACACCTGAAATCCCAGCTACTTGGGAAGCTGAGGTCATGATTGCAAGTTTAAGTCCAGCCTGGGCAACTTGATGAGACCCTGTCTCAAAATAAATAATAAAAAAGAATGTAGCTCGGTGGCAAAGCACCCTTGGGTTCAATTGCCAGGACTGGAAAAAAGGGGAAAAGAGTGGATAAGTGACAGTCTAGTATAGAAGACAGAGGTTAGATTTCAAGAATCAGACTTCAAAGAGGCAGCAGTGCTAACACGTATGTTCAATTTACTATGTATCTGACACTGTTCCAGACACTTTGCGAATTTGAATTTGTTGAATCTTAGTGGTGTCACAAGGTGTTCTGTATAATTATCCCTGTTTTACAGATGGGAAAACTGAGGTATAGGGAGGTTTATTGACTTGCCCATGGTTAATGAGTAGTAGAACGACCTGGACTGTAGCCTCAGGTTGAATACATAGCATCACGAGAGTGATAGACTCTAGCCCCTCCATGTGTCTCTTGGTGTCTCTCTCACTTCCTCTTGGACCATTCAATCTAGGGCATCCAATCCAGTTGCAGTTCAAGGGTGACTTGTTCCTGGGCCTCACAAAAATCCCTTGAGGTAGGTAGATATTATTACTGCCTATGGTTGAGGAAACTGAGGCTCAGTGAGTGTAAGGTACTCACTGAGTGTAAAGTACTCACAGTGCTAAGAAGTAACAGAGGCAGGACTGAAGCCCAATTCAGATACCTATTCTGTCACCAGAAGAGTGGCTGTAGGCAGGATCAGGCCAGTAGCTCAGAGCCAGGAGCAAGGACCTATTTTGATTGTCCCTTCACTTTGATGGCTCCTGGGTCCCTTGTGCACTCTTTCCCTCTCACTTCACAGGCCATCCCAACCATGTTGTCCCTTTCCAGACTGCCTCCCTGATTGGGACCCCTCCCTGTGAATGGGTAGTACTTTGGATAAAAAAAGCTGTGGGGCTGCGGCTCAGTGGTGCCATGCCAGCCCAGCCTGCATGAGACCCTTGGTTAGGTTCCCAGCATCGCAAAGAAAGCCCCCAAACCAAAACCCCTCCAGTTTCTTTTGTGGAGGGAGTTCAGGGCCAGGCCACCCTGCCTAACTTTACAGGTGCCACAGCAAGGGCTCCTGGGCCCTGGCGAGAGCTCACGGGCAGGCCGTTGTGCCCGTTCCTCTGCAACTCAGAAGGTCCAGGGCTCAGTCAGGTCTGAGGAGTGGGTGGAGTGTTGGCAGCCGCTCACGTGCCCTACCCACAGAGTGACCGCATGTGTATCCCTTCCTGGGAGCACAGCTGGGTTTCTTCCTTCCTCTGCCCTGCCCCTCCAGGCCTGGGTGCTCATGATTACAGGAGAGAGGAGCCATTTCCTTTATTGACCCACCCCCTCTGTCAGCTCATCAGAAACATGCTTGGATCCAAAATTCTGGGTATTTTAATCCTCCCTCAATTCAAAAGCAAAGATAACCATTGTCATAATTAAAAAAGATTTTGTGTGGAAGGACTGTGTGATTTGACTTTATATATGTGTGTTTGCTTATTGTATATATGTATATTTTCCCCCTTTGTGGACTGTGCATGTCTCTATTCTCAACTAGTTAGTTGATTAAATAACAACCTTTTCATTTGGGAGAGAGAAAATATAACTTATATAACTTAAAGGAGATCACATCATGTTTATGTGGTGGTATATAAGAAAGAGAAGACTTCCTCTTCTATTTCAGAGCTACCCTCAATTTCCTCATTTATCAGACTGGGTCAGGCATACCTTCATTGCATAATCACAATGAGGATTATGTGAGTAGTGATGCTAAGGTGCTTGCCAGCATGTGACACTCCGCAGGGGCCGTGCATTGTCCATACAGAGAGGCCACTTCTGAGAAAAGATAAGCGATTTGTGTTTGTGGAATCGTAAACCTGAAGAGAATCAAGTTATGTTAATATGAATCCAAATAGATGGTAATAAGCATTTACTAGGTTTCTGCTAAATGAGAGGCGATATACAGGTTATTCCTGTAATCTTTAGAACCCCCCTGTGAATATAATCATCTTCCTTGACTTACAAATGGATGTCGGAGGCTCAGTTAAACATTTTGCAAAGTGCAGTTGAAAGTGCATGTGCTTGATATTTGGCTGTCCCCCTTGCTCCTGGTATAACCACAGGCAAGTTAACCTTTCTGAGCCTCAGTTTGGCCTGTGGTAAAATGGGTCAATGGTTGACACAAAGAGCAAGCTCTGCTTAGATACATCTGATCATGTTGGGTGGTTTGTGGCTTTTATGTTCAGCTGTCCTATGGACAGAAATCAGTTCTGGATTAGACTGCACCAATTCAGAATGGACTTAGAATGGCAGAAAACTCACACATCTGTTCAGTTGACTTTTGGTTTCCTTAATGGACTGGTTCCAGGTCCTATCTTGGATACCAAAATCTGAGGATGCTCATGTCTCTTTATATAAATGATGTAGTGTTTTTATACAACCTACACACTCTCTCCTAGACTTGTAATGCGTAATACAATATAAGATACATTTTAAGTGTTATATATACTCTATTTATTTAGGGAATAATGTCAGGAAAAAAGTTTGTACATATATAGTATAGACACAGTTTTCTCCTGATATTCTACACGGATGTGGAGCCACACATACAGAATTGTGGATACAAAGGCCGACTACACTACAATGAGAGAGGCCCATAGCAAGGGCCCTGACTCAGATAACTGTCCAGAGAGGAGAAATGTATGTATTCTTAACACCCACAAACCACTACTAGCTTAAGCACCCAGAGGCCCAGCAGCATGCCCACCAGGACTTAGAATAGTAGGAGCACACAGCTTATACACAAAACAAGAAGGATCAAATTACCTTAATGATTTAATACCATTTTTTTGACAAACTAGATATTCTCATCTACACTGTAGAAAGGGAAAGGTGTTCATTTGCTTATTTATAGGTGGCATAGTTTTATTTTCTTAGCTGGGTGAGCTTTTATAATAAACTCCTTCCCACCTTAACAGAAAGAAGGGACACAGATTGCCTATACTTCTGTGGGCCTCTTATTGTGGTACAGTGAATGCCACTTCACTGAAGCTCACCCCAATATGAGATTTGGAGTTGGTTGTAGTCAATAATGGCATTGCTTGAGGTCTTCCAGAAAGATTTTAAATGTACCACCACTCCCACATTACCACTCTAAATAGGATTAGCCAAAGTTCTGCTCTTTGCCTGGTTCTCAAAGTGTGACCCAGAACAGCAGCATGCTTTTACAACACTGTGTACCAGCCTGGCACTGTGCCAAGCATCACCTGGAATTTCTTGGGAATTGAAATCAAAGATGGGTGTTGGGTTATATGCTTAAAATATTTTCCCAGTTGGAGTTACTATGGCCATGCCTTGTGGCCCCAGCACTCTGAGTCTTTGCCCACCTATTTGTCTTTCTGTGAGACTAGACCACCAAATCCTGTTCTCAGGGCCATCAGCCCTGCCCCCAAGCGTTCTCTCTGCCTTCCTTGGTTTTAATGTGGACCCCCTCTGTTTTTCTGAGAAAGTAACCCTCTTCCCTCAAACCTTTGTCTGTTGATTGTCCTGAAGTGCCTGAGTGTCTTCTCTGGGGATACTGATGGGAGGTGATTTTTCTTTCTTTGCCTGGGCTTCTTAGAAAAAGCGTTAGCACCAGCTCTGTGTCCCATCTGTAACAAGTGGCCAGGCCCACACATCTTCCTCTGTTTGTCCTTTTCTCACTCTTAGTTTTAGCTTATTTTCCTTCCATTATTTTACCTTTGTCCTTTTTCCCCCCTTACTGCAGACTTATTTTTCAGTTCAGCTTGTCTTGTATCCTATGACTCTTTGCTACCAGCCTTCATTAGTTTTGGAAAGAAACAGCTTAAATAAAGTGAAATACTTTTTGTTCTGAGATGCAGTGGATATAATACAATGAGCAGACAGCAAATGGAGGTGTCTTTTAAGTGGCCATGTCCACCTGGATTTGTGTAGTTCTAAACCCTGTGTCCCTTACTTTCTCATGCGGATAGAGAGATTCAATTAAATTTTTTTTTTGGTTGTTTGTTTTAATCCACAAAACTGGGAATCAGGGAGAAGTAGAGAGCTAAATAAAGGAAATTGGGCACAAGGCCCTTTGGTGGGTTTTAGGTCTTCCTTCTCTAACATATGTATGAATAAGTGAATGACTCCAAAAGGAGAGTAATGGACATTGCAACATGAACAATCTCTTCATGAGGTTAGAGATGCCTGCAAACACTTATCTGAATAAACTGATCGCCAGGAGGTGGTGGATACATTGTAATTCTGTTAAGTTATAAGCTTTTCTGTTGACTTTGTACTTTCAAGCCCAAATGCACTTTCAACAAAAAAGTATGATACCAGTTTTTCATAGATCCACATACTTCTGAATTCAGGGTAAAGTCACACCGGGTATCTGGTTTATTCATTGAGTCACCTTAGCTATGTGGAAGGCAGAAAGTCCAACAAGCCGTTTCTCCCCATCCTCCTGCAGATGCAAAAGTGGAAAGAAGGTTCTTACTCAGATACACACTGTTACCAGCCTGGCACTGTGCCAAGCACTTAATAAAATTTCAACTTTTCACTTTCTAATCTTGACACTAAGTCTAAGGATGGTAGGCTTCAAATTGTGTGATGCTAGATTTTAATCTCAGTTCCAGGTTGGGTCCTAATTTGAAATTAGCTGGAACTTTACAGATTTGAGGGTGAAATGAATGCTAAGCAGAACGTAATAGAGTAGAACTTTGTTGTTCTTGCTGAATCTCTGTTAATTAAGAATCAAGTGATATAAGTAATGGATATAAAAGTGCTTTGTACTACCAGACTTTCCTACCATGTAAGAGACTATTACATAAGTGACATTTCAGTGGCTTTACAGCATTAAGGGTCTCTAATTAATAGGGAAGAACATTTGAGCTGTTCTCCTAAGCTAGAGGGCCTGGCTGTTGTCTTTATTAGGTTGAGGAGGAAGCTCTGGAAGTCTGCTGGAATTAGAGCAGCGGGTGTTGGAAATGGACCTTTACAACTGCGAAACACAGATAATTGGGGTATGAAAATGGCACTTTAGCACCTAGTTATCCTCACTTGGATCTGGGAGCATTTGAAGTGTGCAGATCTAGTTCTTGGAAATCCTGCAGTGAGAAGGGAGGCAATGAAATGTGTTTATTGAGTGTCAAGCATAACTTTCTAGGGTGATTCTTTAATCATTTGTATGAATAGAAGGGGGGCGATTGTGCACGAGACATGGGCCATTTCTCCAAAAAGATCTCATTCCCTGTGGCCTAGCCCCTGTGACTTGTTCCAATCCACCAAATATCCAACCCTCTCCTTGGCCTCATGCAGTTTTATCAGTGTTGAACTGTCATTGAAACAGATCCTTGTATTTGACAGACTCCTGTTACCCGAGAGTCTTCCTCAGATATGCAGAGCTGGGGCTTCTGCATTCAGATCTCTCCAGCCTGCTTCTTGGGCTTAGTCCAGAGCCTTGCACAGTCTGGGGAGAGGTTTGCCTCACCGTTTAAGATGTGCTCATGTGGACGAAAACTTTATCGAGCCTTAGGAATAAAATAAAACTTAAAACCCATTTCCTCTCTGCGTGTGTTACCTTGCTTGGTGACGCCTGGGTGCAGTGCTCTCTTAGAGCATGTTCAGGGTGGTCAGCTTTTAGCAAACCTTTGTTTCCCAAACCTTTGACTTCCTGTGGACTTTTTGTGCTCTCTTAAGTTCATTTCATTTAAAAAAAGTAGATTTACCACCACCCCCACTGGAAGGCTAATCTGAGTAAGGAACAACTTGTTCCAAGTTCGGATTATGAGCTATGCTTAATTATGGCTGAAGCCATAGCTGAAGGCAAAGTTAAGGAGTTTGAAGGCAAAGGCTTCTCCCTACTGTCTTAAAACCACCCTTAGCCTGCTAGAGCAGGTGAGCTGTGGAAATCACAAGTGAGGAATGTCCACCCCCCTGACCTCTTTGCTACCTGTGAGCAGATGGGGAACAGAGCAGGTGAGAGCAGGAACCAGAGCTTGGGGCTTCTGTGGATTAGAGATTTTCTGACCCCCTTCCAGGCAAACAAATCCTGAATGAACATGGATTTCACTGTGCACTAGAGCCGTCTTCAGGTTCATGTAATTAAAAAAAAAAAAAAAATCTGCATGGCAGTCTGTGATTCACCCCGAGGATAATGACCTGTGTGTCTTTGTTTTCTCCTTGCCCTCATGGGGGCACGCAGCACGTGTGGAGCGAGAGCGAGGACTGCCTGCCTTTCTTGCAGCTAGCGCAGGATTACATCTCCTCCTGTGGCAAGAAGACACTCCATGAAGTCTTGGAAAAAGTCTTCAAGTCCTTCAGACCTGTAGGTGCCTGCTTGGCCTCTAAAGCTAGCTTGTTTTCTGCAGTCATTGTGTTTTGAATAACATGGGTGGTGGGGAAAGTGGGCAAAACCCAGGCTGACTAATTGTTTTTCTCTTGTCTGTCCTGTGGCATAAAGATAGCAGCCAGTGTGGGGAGGCTGTGGGGGAGGGGGAGGGGACGGGATGTGACACAGCTGCTTGTTGCAGGGGTGATGGTTATTTCTAGCACCACTTGAGTTGAGAATCCCTGATAGGGAGGAGAGCAGACAGATTCTATGTGAGACAGTGGAGTGTTCCTATTCTCGGCCAGTAGACTTCAAACCCACAAGCCTGGAAGCAGTTGGGAGGTTTTGTTTAAATGGTGGGGTCTGTACTGAGGGTTTGCCAGAAAGCATATAAATGTTATACTTCCATGTTTGTGGGTGCAGATGGGGATGAAATTGGATCCTGGTTCTATTCCTTTCCCTTTTTACCAAGTCTCTTGTGCAGAGCTTGCTTTTCCCCTCCCTCTCTTGGGATTTCGGAATCCATCCTTCTGTGGCTGCTGACAGGCTGTTTTCCTGCCAGCAGATAAACATGTAAAATGAGTGTTTAGCCCCGCTTTGAACATTCCCTATTTCCCTGTCTTTATTGGAAGTTTAGGTCAGATGACGAATGTCATGATGTTCCCCCCCAAGTTCAATTCCCTGCCTGCTGTAAACATTCTACATATTCAATGGTATTTGCTGTCGAATTTCTATTTATTTTTTGAATTGTTTTTAATATGATCTGCTTCTCCACTGTAATTTCTGGCTTTTAGTTCTTTGAACACAGTAGCTTGCTTGCATAATAGCCTGTGTCTAACATTCCAGTGTCTCGAGATTTATTTCTAAGTCTGTTTGGCATCTTTCTTTCTTTTTTCCCCTTTTGCTGCCTGTTCCTACTCCTTGGTGTCTTGTTTCTCTGTGTGTTGGATCATCTCTGTGTGCCATTTTGTATATTTGAAAGTTTATGTAGGTCAGGCATGGTGGTGCACACCTGTAATCCCAGTGGCTTGGAGGCTGAGGCAGGAGGATCGCAAGTTCAGAGCCAGCCTTAGCAAAAGTGAGGCGCTATGCAACTCAGTGAGACCCTGTCTCTAAATAAAATATAAAAAAGGGCTGGGGATGGCACCCCTGGATTTAATCCTTGATACCAAAAAGAAAAAAAAAAGTTTATATATAGGAGTAAATTGTGGCTTAAGATGACATTACCTTCCTCCAGAAAGAGTTTTGTTAGCTCCTTCAGGACTCAGGGCCCTGTCAGTCTGAGACCACTTTTGACAGTTTGAGGCTTGTAGTTCTGTGAGTGCCCCAGGTGAGAACAGTCAGCCTGCAGGACTGTCTCTCCTAGCTCATCCTCATTCCTAGCTCAGGTCTCTGCTTGGGTGGGATCAGGGCATCATGTCTGTTTTTTTGGAAGACTCTAGGCTTTGACTTCGGTCCACCATCTCCTAGAATAAGCTGAGAGTGGAGTAAAGTTTCTAGCTGCTTCTTCCAGGTCAGCAGAAGCCTACAGGACAAAAGCAGCTCTTTGTGTCAGGCATATCTCTCTAGAGCATGTTTTCCATATTAAATATGATTTTTTTTCATATTTTACTTGTTCTCAATGGAACAGCTGGGGCCCATCACTTAGGCCACCACTGTAAGGAGTGGAATTTCAGTGGCTTTGGTCACATTCTCTGGTTTGTATCATTCATCCAATCAGCTCATTTTTTGTTTGTTAATTTTGTAAGCCAGTTTGGCTCATTCAAAATGGGTGTTTGGGTTAAAAGTACTGGTCTTTCCTGCTTTCGGTCACCCAATAAACATTTCTTGAGAAGGGGATGTGATCCGACTTCACTTGGCACCACGTACTGCTCTGGTCCCAGCACTTGGACGGAGTGAGTGAACATCTTGGATCTCACAGAGCTCGCGCTCTGGACTGGGAGGACAAGATGAACAAGTTTATATATAATGTGTCAGTAATAGGTGCCAGGAAGGAAAGAAAGAAATCATGGATGGGGCTAAGAAGTGTTAGGAATCCTGAGGTGTTTGATGAGGGGGAACAAGGAAATCTTCACTGAGAGGGTAACACTGGAGTAAAAGCTAAGTCAGGAGAGAGCCATGAGGAAATCCAGGGGAATAGCAGCACAGGTAGAGAAAGCAGCAAATCCGCAGGCCTTGGGTGGCAAGCACCTGTGTTTCAGGGACAGGAATCACTAGCCTGGCCGAAGGGGAGGGGAGACGGGACAGAGTGAGGTGAGTCCAGGGAACACAGGACCTTGCAGCTGCCCAAGGATGTTGGGAGCCATTGGAGGGGTTCAAGAAGAAGGGGGATGTGATCTGACTTCAGATTTTGAGAGGCTGCTTTAAGGACTGTTGAGATTAAGCTGTCAGAGGAGAAAGAAGGGACCCACAGGGAGGCTGGTCATGTCTTCCAGGCAGACCTGATGTGGCACCACACAGAGGTGGAATAGAGAGCTCGGATTCTGGGGACACCTTGAAAACAGATCCAGCTAGACTTGCTGGTGAATTGGAAGTGGGATGTGAGAAAAAGAGAGACCAGGATGACGCCCGAGTTTCTTGCCTGAGCACTGAAGGGACCCGCATAGTCATTGAGATGGGGCGGGCTGTAGGAGGAAAAGATGGGGTGTGATTCTATTAGAGCTCACTTTTGGACATATCGATGTTTGAAATACCTACTGGACATCCAAGTAGATATATCAAGTTAGGCAAAATTTTTAAAAAAATCAGTTCCTCACCATGTGCAGTGGTACAGTCTGTAATTTCAGCTATTCAAGAGGTTGGGGCAGGAGGATCATGAAGTTTGAAGCCAGCCTAGGAAACTCAGCAAAACGCTGTCTCAAAATAAAAAATAAAAAAGACTGGGGTTATAGCTTAGTGGTAGAGCACCTAGGTTCAATCTCCAGTACAGGAGGAAAAAATAAAAATCCTCCAAATCTCAACTGGAACAAAATGCCTATTAACAAGGAGTGTCCACTCTGCAGCTGATTTTCTTTGGGGTGTTTGTTCATTAGCCTGCCACCCAGTTTTCTTTACACGGATGTCCTCTATGCTGGAGAGCAAAGCAGCTGTGGAACTGACTGACCTGGAGAAGTAAGCGCCAGCCAGAATTTGTTTTGTTGTTTTTCTTTACTAAGTCTGGCTGCATTCTGGCAGTCATATGTGAATGGAGGAAAATTCTGCAGTCCAAAAAATCCAGATGTGTAGCTGAAAGCAGTCAGATTGGATGAGTTTTTTTTTTTTTTTTTTGGTTTGAGCTGTGTGTATCATGGAGACAGATCCAGTTCCATGATACTGGGCTTCCAGGTTCCATTAACAATGTGGAGCTTTACATTGTGAGCAGGGGTATCACTCCCCAGGTGGAGAGGCCTTGAGCTAGCAAAGAGCCTCTTCCATTAGGAAAGGTTACGCTTAGGGAACTGCCTTGGCTGGTCTTTGCTCCTCCTGGAAAGGCCAGTGAGAGGCTTCTTTGCAGGATGGGGAAGGGTAGTTTGTGTGCCTTTGGGCTGTGATGTCTCCCAGGTAGAATGTGCACCAGATTGGATGAAAAAGAGTGTTGCCAGCCCCAGTAAAGGACTGTGGAGATGAGTGGGGAAACTTGGGCCCTCTCTCTCTCCACTGAGTAGTGCACTTCTTCCTAGAGGTGCTGCTTATGTTTGTTCAATGAAAAGGGAGATTTGGGTTTAGCAGGCAGACAGGAGGCTTTGCTGCTGTGGCCAGAGTTGAAAGTACTTGGTGAAGAAGCACCTACCCCAGGGCTACAGGGCTATGGAGCAGTGAGACCAGTGCATCATTTCCCTGGAACTTTGTAGTGATTGAATCAGCTCATGCAGTGGCTGCTGCCGCTTTGCAGTGGAGTATCCCCAGCAGGAATTTCTTCACCTGCATCTTAGAACAGCTGATCCAGGCCTTCAAATCCCTGTCTTCCCATGGTCACCCCATCTCTAGGTTTTGAACTCATGATCCTCCTGCCCTGTGCAGTCTCTCCAGAGAGAGAAATACCTGATGGTCGACAGTCCTCAGCTGCCTGTTGGGACCCCTGCCAGGCACATTCACTTGACCTTGGGCACCCTGTGTCCATGGGCATAAGAGCTGAGTGCTGAGGAACACCCTGCCAAGGCCATGCCACCTGGGGCACTGTGTATGATAACATCCACACTTCAGGGTCTATACACCTGTGCCCCTCCTCTGCTTTGCCTTCCCCATGCTGAAACAATCAATGTCACAGAGTTCCTCCTCTCTCAAGAAAGCTGTTGTTGGATTTTTAAAAGAAAGAAAAAAATATATATATATTTTTCTTTTTAGCCATCTTACTCCTTGTTTTTCTTCTACTTCATCACATTTTCAACAGAATGTATCAATCTGCCTTGCAGAGTCCTGCTGGGAAGGGTGCAGGGCAGGGCACAAAATGGCCAGTTCTTGCCCTCAGGGTGCTGGCTAGGAGAGACAGCTACATAAACAGAGGGAAACCCCGTGGTACAGGGTAGGGCATTGATTTTGGCCCAGGCATGCTTCTAGATGCTACACTGGACAAGTTTATTCTACTCTGTGGGTTCTTTAGGGGAAATATTTCTAAGAGGATTTTTTGTGAGCAGATACTACATAGGGTGTTGTTTGTGGTTTTTTAGCCCAGTTATGTGGGATCAGGATCCTACAGTGATGAAGTCAAGCTCTGTGGAGAGGCCACTTGGGTTTATTTTAGTTTGTTTGTTGTTTTTGCTATGAGGGACTGAACCCAGGGGCACTCAACCACTAAGCCACATCCCAACCCTTTTTTGTATTTTATTTAGAGAGAGGGTCTCACTGAGTTGCTTAGGGCCTCACTAAGTTGCTGAGGCTGGCTTTGAACTCATGATCCTCCTGCCTCAGTCTCCTGAACCACTGGGATTATAGGCATGTGCCATCACACCCGGCTCAAGCCACTTGGGTTTGAATCCTGGAACACTTGTTGACTGGGCATCTTTAGACTAGTTACTTAT